ACACTGTGTCTCCAAACAGAAGGGATGAATGGGGAAAAGGAAGGAAAAAAAGAATAAACAGAAAAGATGAAACAACAAAACAAGACAATTCTGAAATGGGAATTAATTCTAGGAAGTTAGGATGAAGCACAGTAATGATCTGTGATGGACCACTTCCCAGGACGCCTGGCTGTCAGAGCTGGGCTCCATTAAGGATTGCCTGCAGAGCTGGAGTTTGCTGGCTGTGCTTTTTCATTTCTCTTCATCCCAACAGTCGTAGGCATTCAAATTTTCAAGATACTGATATACAAATATGTATGCCCTGGCTCTTTAAGTGTTTTCTTGTCATGATGTGTTTGAATTAACCAAAAGCGCATGTCAAATGTCTAAACTGATTTCCCTTTTAATGTGTAAGAGGATCCACTGTCCTTGCCCTGTGTGGCAGTTGTCTTCAGCACCAGTATGAAGGTTTAGAGTCTTCAGTTCCTTTACTCTGGAAAGTTTCTGCGGACAAATATCTATAATGCACACGCATTTCACAAAGGTTTTACCAGAAGGAAGCCAAAGAGAAGCCCAGGAGGAAAAAAGGGGGATGAGAAACCATGTGTGTTTTACAGTAGATTAATTCACTACATCCTCAATTGTGATTGGGCAGCAGATATTACTTTTATTAACTGGGGATTTTTGTGTATGAATCATGCTAAGGAAAGATTAAAAGCATTTTGCAGCACAGGAGATGTGAGATTAAATTAGGCACACTATCTTTTGGAAACAGCATAAAGACTACACTGGAATGGCCTTCCATATTTTCAAACCAGCTCCCGCTAGAAGCCTATGAATTACACATCTTCGAAGCATAATGTTGTCTGAATACCACTTCTAATATTGTCTCCTATTAATTTAACTGGAATTTAATAAGCACCTCATTTGTTTCTCACTTTTCATTAACTTGCAGTTTCTTCAAAACTACACACATTTTATGGGAATCTGGTAATGTTTATGTAAAACATATATACATGCAACCAAATGTGACATTTCAAATGTTGTCTGATTTAGCATTAATCCTTGTCATTATTTGCATTTATATTGTGGGCATATTCAAATGCCACTTGTGTAAATGCTTCCTCTGTATTTATCTTTCAAAACATCACTGAATTTGTGTTCTGCAGTTGACACCGCCATTAGACCAGCCTTCCTCTAGAACTGCAGACTCTCCAATGCGCATACAAAGCAGCCACAAGCCTGACGGTTGTAGAGTAGGGATCTTCTCATCTTTATCGAAACATAAAAATCACAAATTCAATGACCCCTCGAGTCCCTGTCTGAACTATTCAGGATGAAAGCAGGTATCCAATGCTTATGATCACACAAATGGCATAAGTTATTTTGGGCTCTTCTGTCCTGAGAATGAGAAAATGGTTCTCTGAGACAGAGCTCCTGACTTTTGTGGGCATTCACCTTGTTTGTCCCTTCTCCTCTGCCACTTGCCTCCCATGGAAACAGACCTTGCAGTATGGCCCACACCAAGGAAATGCTCAGAGTCATTAGGATAGCTAAGCAGGTAAAGGTGCTTGCTGTCAAGCATTAGTTTGGCTGAGCAGGTAAAGGTGTTTGCTGTCAAGCTTGATGATCTGCGGCTTGATCCCAGGACTCACAGGGTAAAAAGAGAAAGCTCGCTTCCACAAGTTTACAATCTATCGTAAATTTATTACAATAAAAAATGTAGTAAATTTAGAATGAAAGTTTTCTTAATGAATAGCTCGATTGCTATTTAAAAAATAATTTGTAAGGCTGGGAATAATGGGGTATACCTCTAATCCCATGTATTTGTAGTCAGGTGGAATATAAGTTCAAAACTTCCCTGGGCTACATAGTTAGACCCTGTCTCTAAAAAGAAAAATAGATTAATAAAATAACATTTGATAAAACTAAAGGAAGAGCTGCCACGTTTACAGCATCCAGAAAAACTGTATCAAAGCCAGCTGTGCCAAAGTAGAATGCTAACTACTGTGGGGTAAATACCTTCTTGCCAGTCTCTAGTGGGATCCGAGTATCTAGGTCTCCATTAACTACCTCCCTGTCTCCGTTTACCCAAGTCTCAACTCTGTCTATCTATCTTGTCTTTGTCTACCTCTCCAGAAAAGTTTTGATTAAATCCATGCGATGGCAGCAGGGTGGGAAGAGAACACATTCCAGAGGAAGTGCGAGGGGGATAAGAAGAAAAAGGGTTGAATGTGCTCAAGACACAGTACACACGTGAAATTTTCAAAGGATACATTTAAGTTTAAAATAAATGCCTAACATGTGGAACTACCTCTCTTCCCTTTGAAACCCTTCCCCATAGCTTCTGTCCCCTCCCCATCAGCTTCCCAGTCTCATTATCGTAGTTCTTAGCTCCAGTGCCTCCCACTATGCCCTAGGTGGTCAACTCACAACAGACATTTTTAGTTAAAGAAGTGAGGGAGGAAGGTCATCATGGAAGGGACCAATCCTCTTTGAAGGTCTCCCAATGAACACATCATTCAGATTCACACCTACTTATCTGACTACCTGTCCCCTCAGCATCGACGCTGTTGATTTTTCAGCACCAATACTTACATAGCAGATAGAATGGTGAACAACCTATGATTCATGGTCCCCTTCACCCTGACACTTCGAAGTATAAAAATGTTGGACAATTCATTGGAAATTTTCGGAGGGTATCGGGTTCTTTGCAAAAACATTCCATTATTAAATTGTAATTTTCTAACTAACATTTACCTTTTGCACAAATAAAAGATAAAAACAGTGGAAAACATTTTAACTTTTAAGTGATGGCTAGTTAAAATATTAAAAACATAAAAAAAGAGTAAGCATCCCCAGATTAAGTATGAGTGCGCTGACAATTGGAAAAGTCCAGCTAGGGAGCCGGCTCAACAGGCAGTGTTTGCTGTGCAGGCACATGGACCTGAATTCGGATCCTCAGCACCCAGTAAGGGCCAGGCCCAGCATCATGTAACCCTAACACTGCAGAGGCAGAGACAAGAGGATCCATCAGCTTTGCTGACCAGCTGGTCTAGCTGAATTTGTGAGCATCAGGTTCAGTGAGTGGCCCTGTCTCAAAAGGAAGGTAAAAAGCCATTCAGGAAAGGACATGATAGCATCCTCTGGGCCTCCACATGCACATATGCAAACACATATACACTCACACATACAGACTTGTACATATGTGCACAAAGGCGAGCTTACATACAGAACACACAAACACACACCCACCCACAAGCACACATAAACAAACATGCACACACACATGCATGCATGTACACACACAAACACACACGCGCACACACACATAAAGTTACCCGGTTCTAGTGTCTGTACATTGCAAAGCAGTCCAGTGAACTGTTTTTCCAAATGCAGTGCACCTCATCCTGCAAGGGAGTGGTTACGTAGCTGTCAGTTACCGGGTGGCAGAAACTTATTTCAAATTTTGTGTTTTAATTTAGTCTTAATCCTTCAGAGGCATATAGACCTACCTCTCCATTAAATTATGTGAGAATAATTTTTTAGTAAGACAGTTTGTTATTTAAAATAGAGAAAATGAAGGACCATGAGCCCTCATTACAGAGAAAAATGTACATAAATATCAACCACTAGCCAGCTGGGTTCTGAAATTCCAACCGGCTAATTTTGTTTTAAATGAAGTTTGATGTCTTGCCCTGATGACCCTTACCTAGAAGACTGCAGGCTTTCTTTGGTGACTAATGTTGATTTTTTGAACTAGGTTAAAAACCAATCTTTGGTGACTAATGTTGATTTTTTGAACTAGGTTAAAAAACCAATTTGTAACCAGGCAGTGGTGGCACAGGCCTTTAGTCCCAGCACTTGGAAGGCAGAGGTGGTAGGCAGATCTACCCAACCTGGTCTACAGAGCGAGTTCCAAGACAGGCTCGAAAGCTACACAGAGAAACCCTGTCTCAAAAAAAAAAAAAAAAAGA